CCCCCCCCCCCCCCCCCCCCCCCCCCCCCCCCCCCCCCCCCCCCCCCCCCCCCCCCCCGCCCCCCCCCCCCCCCCTCGGCCGCGGCGTCGAGCACTTGGCCGGGTCCCCTCCCACACCCCCAGCCTGAGGCTCGGCTTCCCTGCTCTCTGTCGCACCCGCCGCCGCCTCTCCGCCGCGGTGGGGTCATCATGATGCATGTCGCCGCCGTCCGGGTCCCCCTTTCGGATGAGGCCAGGCACGTCCACCGGCCGCCGTGGCTCGGCCTCCCTCTTCCCCCAGGGGCGTCTTTCGCCCCTCCGCGCGACATTCCCCCGCCACCAGGCCCTCGGGGTCCGTCTCATTCCCCGATGTCCGTCGGCCAAGGGAGGGGCCGGCTGGGCGTCGGGTCGCGCGTCCACGGCGGCCGGCTTCGGACTCCCCCCCGCCTCCCCCCCCCCCCATCCATGCACATGGGCGATCTCCCCGCAGGGCACCGCCTCCCGCGGGTCTCCACGCCCAGGTGCATGGACCGGATCCAAGGCCGCTCGGCAAGGGTACAAAAGCCACGCCCTCCCCGAGGTTACCCATGACTCCCATATAGTCTAGGTGGTTAGGATACGTGGCTCTCACCCACGAGACCCGGGTTCGAGTCCCGGTATGGGAATTCTTTTTCCCGGGGGCGCCTCCGCGCGCGACACGCCGTTCCTTTTGCTCCGGGCGGTCCTTTTTCGGGGCAGCAAAAGCACGCGCTTTTGTATCCCCTCCGCGGGGGGACCGCGGCACGGCGGTTGAGTGGTGTAATGGTTATCACGGCAGACTCTGAATCTGTCAATCCGAGTTCGATTCTCGGCTCGACCTGCTCTTTTTCGTTGGAGGCCCGTCTTTTGCCGTCCCTGGCCGGGGGGGGGGGGGGCTCCGGCGCGCATGCTCGGGCGATCGGGGAGCCCCCGGGCCGGCGGCGCGCGGCCCCATCCCGCTTGCCCCCTTCCTGCGCCTCGGGCCCGGGCCGGGGCCGTTCTCTCTTCCGCCGGCAGGAGGCCGCCCATCGGGATGGCATCTGCCCGGCATCGCCGCCACAGGGTCTCATAATACCGGCCACGGGGCAGGATCCCGGCGGGCGCCCGCGGCCGGGGTGACCCGCCGCCCCCCCCGGCCGGGCTTTTCATGCGCTGCGGGCTCGTCGTCAGCAAGAAGCCCGATGCCCCTTCCGGGCCCCGGTGCACGGCCTTCCCCGTCCTCGGCGGCCGGGACCTTGTGTAGCTAGCGAGCGGGGGCTCTGAATACACCAAGACACCCCCAGATGTGACTTCGGCCCCCGCCCCGCCTGCGCCCCGGTCGCTGGCGCAACGGGACCTCTGGCGCTGCCCCGTCGGCCGGATGCACCTTAGCCGCGGGCGCCCACCACAGGCAGGCGCCGCCGCCGCCGTGCCTCTCGCCTTGGCGCATGGCCCGCGCGGAAAAGGGGCCACGGGTCCCGATCGACACTCTCCGGCCAAGGGCGCACTCAAAGATGGTGTATTGTCGGGGCGGCATCGGAGAAAGGCGGAGCGCCCAGCAGACGCTCCCCAGATCGTGGTGGGGCAATCGCACTTCCGCACTTCCGCACTTCCGCACGCTCCCAAATGTCCCGAGGCCATCGGCCACGCTTTGCCAAGCCACCTTTTGAGACCACGCGGCGCGCCATCAGACCACACAATCGGCCGACGTCGGCCCGGTGCACCCGCCAAGGCAGGACCCATGGCAGGGCTTGCACCAGATGCCGAAAGTCCGCGCAGGGCAATCGGCCTTGAAGGCCACGCGCTGGACATCGCCCGCCTGGTTCACCGCAAGCAGGGTGGCAAAGTGCCCGGCACGCAGGTCGGCCGCGTGCATCACCACATCCTGCATCTGGGCCAGGCCCAATTCCCGGTAAGGGTCTTCGTGGAAGAAGGCCGGCAGCAGGTGGCACTGGTTCTGGCTGTTCGGCAGGCACTGGACCACCGCCATGCCCAGCACCCGGTCCGACAGCAAGACCAAGGCGGCCGGGAATTCCGGGTCACTGGTCACCAGCTCCGCCAGCAGGCAGCGCTCATTGACCGGCTGGAGGTACGGCTTGCCGAGGACCTGCCTCGGCCGGGTGGCATCAAGCAGCTTGCCGGTCAGATACATGCCGCCCTTGGTGGCCATGGCCACCACCCACGAGCCGTACTCGGTGCCGCTGAACACCGTGTCATACCGCAGGACGGTGGAGTCGGCCTCCCGTACCACCGGCACCCGGAAGACCGAATGCCAATAGCCGCTGAAGGAGATGTCCTGCTGGGCCAGGAGCTCGGTCCTCGGGTCGTTGGCCGCCAGGTCCTTCTTGTAGAGGGCCACCGTCTTGAAGCTGTCCAGCGTCAGGACCATGCTGAGCCCCGGCAAGTCCGCCACCGCATGGACATCCCGCACGATGTGGTGCTCGAAGGCGGCCTGCGAGCCGACCTTCCGCAGCCGGACCACGTGGCGGCCGCTGGTGGATGTGGCGATCGGAATGAGAATCTCCATCGTGGAGCTGGCGCTGTGCATGTCATAGCACTTGGTTATTTCCATGCCCGGGCCCAAGATCGGAAGAGCACACGTCCTTCCGCAGCCGGACCACGTGGCGGCCGCTGGTGGATGTGGCGATCGGAATGAGAATCTCCATCGTGGAGCTGGCGCTGTGCATGTCATAGCACTTGGTTATTTCCATGCCCGGGCCCAGGTCCACCACCGTGGCATCGGACACGGTGCATGGCGTCGGGCTGCCAAACGCCGGGAAGGAGCACGTCACGAAGACCACCGAAATGCGACTCCCACAGGAGACAATGGCCAGCTGCTCGTCGCTGTACCTGAGCCCAGGGAATGGGCCCAGCTCGCGCAGCCGGGGCTCCATGCTCCGGCCGCTGAGACTCGCCACGCGGGCCATGGGCGCCGGGCTGGCCGCCGACAGGTTGCTCAGGGTCGACAGCAGCACCTCCCCGGTATCCGTCAGCAGGAGGGCCCCCTCTCGCGGGAGGTCCGGATTGAGGCGAGACTCCGGTCGAAGCATCAGCCGCGATTGGCTGTTCAACAGCAGGTGCGTCGCGGCCATGCCCACCACGCGCACGGGTGTCGATGAGCCCGACACCCGGGGGGCATATGCTCCCAGGGACATGTCCATGCCGAGGGCCCCGCTCGGCAGCCGGGCCTGGCTCTTCACGCACAGCCTGCCCTCTTGCACATACCCGGGCGAGCAGGCTGCCACGCATGACGCCGGGCCGGCATACGGGCCTTGCTTCACCTCCAGCAGCAGGTCCCCCGCGCACACGGAGCACCCTTCGGAGGCGTTGCACACCAAGCAGCCGGTGCCACAAGGCTTGCAGGGGGTGGTATTTGTGGACCCGACGAGGACGAGGACGAGGACGACGACGGCCGGCGCCGGTGCGAGGCCCGGGGCCAGGGGTGGCCGCGCGCCGCGGCCGTTCCATCGACATTCCCATTCATGGAGCCCCGGCCCCCCACAGGCCGAAGAGCAAGCATACACACCATGGCAGTCAGTAAAGCACGCGCAGCGGGCCATGGCCCGGGCTCCGGACTCGCCCGCCCGGCCCCGGGACCAATGGACGCCACAGCCGGGCATATGCACGGGCGCACAAATGCCGACCCATTTCCACCCCCCCCCCCCTCCGGCGCATTCGTCATGAACCGAACCCGATGCCCGCGCTCGTGGACACATGCACACATGCACACATGCACACATGCACACATTCACACACATTCACACACACACACACACACACACACGGCCATATACACCTACACCCAGCACACACACACACACACACACACACATGCACACAAAGGAGCACGCCCCACCGGCACCGGTCGTCGACGCACTGTCTCGAGTGTCCGCATAGTAGCCCGCGTGGCAGCCGAAGCACAGGGACCGCGAGGCCACCATCGGCGCCATGATGGACCGGGGTTTGCACACCCAGCCGGTGGGACTGGCCCACCAGCCGGGCTCCCCCGGGCAGGCGATGGTGGCGTCGACGCCACACAGGAAGTCCGCCGGGTCGTAGTAGGCCCGCCCCCCGATGACCAGGGTCCAGCGCTTGGACGGGCTGCCGGTCACCGGCAGCAGCAGCAACTGCGTCTTTGCCAGGTCCCACCCGCTGCCAGGCAAACGGACCTGCGTCCAGGTGAAGCTGCCGCCGGCATGGAACCGGACCCGCCACAGGGTGGCCGGCATGGCGGTCGAGGCATCGGCCAGATAGTAGAAGTGCGGTTCGACCGTGGAGCTGTCCACCAGCGGCGCGGCGATCAGGCGCCCGGTGCTGGCGGCCCCCAGGGGCAGCTTCGTCGTGTATCGGGGATTGGACCAGAGCGACGTGAAGCACGTCTTCACCTCGATCTGCCCGAGGACAGTCAATGCCACCATGTCGCCCCCCTGGCAGCTTAGATTGGCCGGCGGCACCAGTCGCGTCAGGACCACCTGCTGCAGGGGCGCCCCCCATGCATACGTGCTTCGGCTCACCGGCCCCGGCTTGGACATGCGCTGATAGGTGTCCAGGCTGTCCAGCAGCGGCACGTAGATCGCCCCGCCGGTCGGCACTTCCACAAACAGATCGGCCGTCGGCTTGACGTGCGTCGTAAAGAGCAACGACTCGAAGGTCCCCGGCATCCCCTCGGTCACCTCCACCCAGAAGATGTCCCAGGCCGGGCCCTTTTCCACCGCCACCAGCAGCGTCACATCCAGCGTGAAGATGTTGAGGAAGCCCTTCAGCACCTGGCCGGTCCCGCCATTCGGGTAGCTGTAGGTGGCGTACCACTCGAGGAGGGCGAATGCCGTGGAGGTGTACTCGAGGATCATGGCAAAGCCCCGGCGCTGGGTGGGCCGCGGGAAAACCAGGAACTCCGCATCGGGCCCCAGCATGGGCCGCATATTGTGCCGCGCGATGTGGTGGCTGACGGTCGTCCGGAATTGCGGGCCCCAGCGGACTTCGCCCTCGGTGGCCGTGCTCACGCCCTGGTAGGTGCTTGCCTGGCTCTTGGCCGGGCCGTCCCACAGCAGGGCATATGTCGAGCCATCGGCCTCGGTGTACAGCTCCGCCTCCGCGGGTCCCGGCACCAGCTTGTCATTGGCCGAGACAAAGCTCAACAGCGTGAAGGGCGGCGTCGAGGACTGCCCGGCCGCCGGCCGGGTCAGCACCAGCGCAAGCGTCGCCACCAACACCGCCAGAAGGTATGCTTGCGCCCGGCGCCGGGCCGTCACCGGGCCCGACTGGGGCCAGGCCCGGCTTCGAGTCGGGGTGTCCATGGGGAAGCAAGCGTGCGCGCGCTCGTGCGTGCGTGCGTGAGGTGGTGCGTCCTGCCGGCAGGGAGGGCGCGAGAGAGAGAGAGAGAGAGAGAGAGAGGCGCGGGTGTATGCTGCCTTCCCGAGTGAGGGGCTCCTTGTCCAGGGGCTGGCTAGCCTTTGGGCAGGGGCGTGTCGAGGGCCGGGGGCTTTTGCGGAGGCAACGAAAGAAAAAGGGATGCCCAAATCGGGCTTGCGAAGGGGAATGCACGAGGTGAGATGTCGGTCCCGGTGGTGCGGCGCGGTCTTCGGCCACCGACGGCGCCGTGGCTTTTATGGCCCTCCCCGCCGGGCTGGGGTGCCTGTGGCCGGCGCCCGGCCCGGCGGCCACCGGCACCGGGCCACCGGCCGTCCCGGGCGCCCGCACGGCCGAAAGAAGCCGCCGCATGTTCTTTCTGGCCCGCGGCCAGCGTGAGTAATAAAGAAGTGGCCCCCGGGTGGGCGCTGGCCGAACGAACAGCTCGCGCCCGCCGGGCCGGGGACCGCATTCGCCGCCGCCGCCGCCCGAAAGGGTCTGCCCGCTGCCGGCCGGGCGCGCCCCGGGGCCCCTTCCCCCGGGCCCAAGGGCCGAGCCGGGGGGCGGGGCGCCCCCCCCCGCCGCGGGGGCCCTCACGAAGCCCCCCCCCCCCCCCCCCCCCCCCCGCCCATCCTCGCGCACCGGGGCCGGCGGCCGGGCTTTTCGACCGCCAGCAGCCACACACCCGCCCGAAGCGCACGCACACCCCCATGCCGGTGCACGGGGCCCTTGCCGGCGCATGGCCCCTCCGGGCGCGATCGACCCGACGGCCGCGGCACCCGGACCATCCAGCCGGGGAGCCGGCCGGCACCCCGGTCCGGGCCCCTGTCCGCGAGGCCAGCCATGGCGCCTGTCGAACGCCCGCACACCGCGCCGGCATGCCTCTCCGGCTTCGGGCCGTCGCCGCCGCCGCCGCCGCCCCCGCCCAGAAGACCGCCAGGGCGCCGGTGCCCGGCCCGCCACGCACGCGGCTTTGTATTGCATGCCGGCCCCCGAGGCGGGAGGCACCTCGCCCGGCAACGAAGGCGCCCCGAGATCGACCGCCCCCCCGAGTCCGGGTACTGCTCACTAGGGGTCTCCGGCCCGGCCAATTGCCAATCCAGCGGCCCACGTTCCGGCCCACCTGAAACCGCACCTAATGCCCGCCCGGCCACATGTACCGAACCGCCGGTACTGGCGACAAACATACACCCCCGGGGGTTCGCCCGCTTGTTTACAAACACCCCCGGTGCCCCGTATGGACGTGTGGCTGTTCGCCGGCTTTCCAGCTGCCTTCCGCGGCGAATGGCAAAGAAGCAGGCACGCCCCCTTTCGCCGGTCCCTGCTCCGGGGCCTGATCGTTCCACCTGCGAGGCCATGGGCCGCGGCCCGCGGCCGGCCCGCTCGCCCCCCCGGGCCCATGGGCAGCCGGGGCCACGCGCGAAAAGTGCACGCCGCAAGCCGACTGGTCCCAGAGCCGGGCCGGGCCATTCGGCCCGGCGTCGGCAGGGCCGCTGCTCATCGGCACCCGGGCCGTCCGGCGCCCCTGCCCCGGGCGGGGAATGCCCCGGGCGAGGAATGCCCCGGGCGAGGAATGCCCCGGGCTCGGGTCCCGACGGCCGAGCGAGTGGCCACGCGCGCCGAGACCCGGGGCCAAAGTCCCGCGAGTCCGGAAGGTCACAGCAATATCCACACACACACACACACATGCACATGCACCCAGCTCTCGAACGCCAACCCTCACACGGGCGGTGCGTCCCTTGCTCGGCCGAGCCAAAGTCCCCCCCCCCCCCCCCCCCCCCCCCCCCCCCCCCCCCCCCCCCCCCCCCCCCCCCCCCCCCCCCCCCCGCCCCCCCCCCCCCCCCCCCCCCCCGCCCAGGTATCAACCTCATCCCCGGGGCCGGCCAACGGACCGCCGCGGCACGGCGCAGCAGCGCGAGCCGGGCCGCGGCCGCGTCGGGATGTTGCCGCCTCGGGGGTCCCCGCACGCCCTCGACCGTCGGCCATACATGACCAGGCAGTCTGACGCCCCCCGAGCTCCTCGTCGCCAGCCTCCCGCCCCGGAGCGCGGGCATCCAAGCCGGCTCCCGGACGAAGGCGCGCACGCGGCCCGCTGGCCGCCAGTCCGACGATGGCCCCTCGCGGTGGCCACGCCCGCATCCCCACTCACGCCGCCCCCTGCACATGGAGGGGGCCGGTGCTCCGATCGCACGCGTGCTGGCATTGCCGCGGTCCCGACCGGCCATCCGCCGGCCGGGCGCCCGGCCCGCGAGCACCACCCCCCCCCCCCCCCCTGGCGGCCCCACACGCGCCCGGGTGAAGCGCACCGGCTACGGCCCCGGGGGGCCGGGCCTGGCCGCGCCCAGTGGCCAAGGGCCGCCAACTCCTCCCCCCACGGTGGGCGGAACACCGACTGCATGCCGACGCATGCGGGTGAGGCCCACCGCCCGGCATGCCGGTACTCGCCAGAACGCATGCGGCTGCCGGGATTGCATGTCGCCGGCTATGGGGTATGGGGCCACCGCACGGGGGCGCCCGACCGGGGCCTGGCCCCGCCGTTCCAGCCCGGCCCCGGCGGACGGCGTCCCCACTCGCGGACAGGCGAGACGGTGCATCCGCCGGGGGCGTCCATGCTCTCGGGCTCGCCCGCCCCCGCGCCCCGGCCGCGGTCCGTGCTCCGCGCATGGACCCACCCGCGAGGCCGCAATCCCAGCCACAATGCCCGCACGAGGGGCGGCCTGGCGCCTCCCCGCCGCGGCCCTCCACCCGGCCATCATATGTGTGCGTGTGTTGGTGGGTGGGCGGGTGCGCGAGGCCGCCAAGGTCCCTGGAAGCGCCGCGTGCACGTGCCTCGGCCGGTCGCGGATCCCCCTCGCCCGGCACGGACGACTCACCTGCGCTGGGACGGTGCGCACCGTCGCCGACGCCCCGGCGGACCGGGCCCCATCCGGCGCCCACACCGCTGGCACTCGCGGCCCGCGCGCCAGACCCGGCACCTGTGCGGCCCCGACGGGCAGCGCGAGGAGCGGGCGAAAAGCCGCGCGCGCGCCTCTGCCCACCCTCGGCCGGGCACCCGGGGACCGGGCAACCTACGGGCAGCCGCGCGGCCACCACCGGCCACACGAGCACGCGGCGGCCGGTGGCCGGCGGTCGGCCGAGCGAGGCCATCCCCCACGCCACGATCAGCCGGTGGGCCCGCCGGGCGCACGGCCCACGCCGGGACGGCCCCGTCATCGGCCTGCGTGGCGCCCCTCGCCCGGGCACACGATCCCTCCACCACCCCCGGGCCACACCGGCCCGAGCTGGCCCGCGCGCAAGTACGCCCAATAGACACCCATTGGGCCCGGTGCAGTTGGTGTGGGGTCGCGCCCTGGGGCGCGCTTGCTTTTGGCCCGGGGCCCGAGGCCGGGGCAGTGTGCCGCCTGCGGCGGCCCCCGGGGGAGGGCGCGGGAAAGAGCGAAAATCAATGCGGGAGCCCGCCCCGCGGCGAGGGGGGGCCCGGGTCATCCGGCAGAACAGCGACCGGCCCCGGCTCGGGCCCCGACCCAGGCGGCTGGGCAAGGACACGCTGGCCGCGCCCAGGCCGCCCGCCCCTCGGGTGGCGTTCCCGCCGAAGCCGCGGCCCGTGCGTCACCTGGCCGATGTGCCCCTTCCCGCGGCGGTCGAAAAGCCGCGACAAGGTTCCATGGATCAGGCCACGACCAACGGAGGCACACAGCCGGCCGGTGCCCTCCCCGGGGAGGGCCCCCGGCACCAGGACCGCACCCGGGTGCCTGCGAGCAGGGAGGGGCCGGATGCCGGAGGCAGGGGCGCATGCGGCGCGCACTAGACGCTTGACCATCGACCGGCCGGCCATCCCCCATCCCCCGCCATGCACCTGGTCCGACTGGGGCACATCACCACCCCCCCTAACACCGGCGGGCGCATGGTGCGGTCGCCCCGCCGGAAGGGGGCCCGAAGCGCTCGGCCCGGGCCTGGCAGCGGCACATGCCCCGGCCTCGCTTGCCCGCGGCCGTGGCACGACGGAGCGCCCCACCCCCCCTCCCCGTGCGGCTCGCCAGCTCCGGGCCTCCGAAGGCGCCCACCGCCGGCTGCCCACAAGCACACACACACACACACACACACAGACAGACACAGGCACGCATGCGCGCCTTCGCAGGCCGGGCGCCCGGGTACCAACGGCGTCCGGCAGGTGTGCCCGGGCAGGGGGCCGGGCGTCACCGAGCCGCACCCAGCTCTGCCCTACCAGGTGATCCCCGGCCGTGGGGTGCCGCTCGCATCCTCGGTGGCAGGGTGCCGGCCTGCTGGCAGGGTCCTCCCGAGGCCCTCAGAACGCCCCGGCATGCTGCCCGGCGGATGGCGCGGCGCCGCCCGCCAGGCCGGGGGCGCCCACGCCGGTGACCACACGCGCCCTCATGGACGAGGCGTCTGTGCCCTGCCCCGAGGATCTGGCGATCGCCTGCGCGCCACCGGGCGGCTGGGCCGTGCGCGAGTGCCCGCGTGTCCGGCTCGGCGGCCCCTTGAGCCCGGCCCGGCCGCGGCCGTCGGAATGGCACACGCCGCTGGAAGGCGCCCCACGTCGCCCCAGCCTTGCGCCGGCCATCCTTGGCTCCTCGCCCGCGCCCTTGCCACGCTCCCGGACCCGCGGTCGCCGTGGCCCCGCCACGCGAATGCGCCGCCGCTGGTGTCGTCGCACCACCCGATGACGGCCCTCTCCGCCCGGCTCCATGTGCAAGACGCCTGGCGGCCAGACCGGCCGCGGCAGCCGCGAAGGAAGGCCCGCGTCCCTCCCGGCGCCCCTGCTGCCGCCCGCTGGCCGGACACGCGCGGCGTCCGCCCGAAGGGGGCTGTGGCTCGGTGCATGCTCCGCACATGTAAAACACATGCCCCCGGCCCTCGCTGGCTGGCCACCGGCACCAGCCCTGCGCCAAGCCCCGAGCAGAGGGCCCCGGGCCCGCGCCGGGGCGAG